TACAATAAATGCATGTGTTCATAAAAATGCACAGTGAGGCTGAATAGGCAATGGTCTACATAAGCTCTTCTGCAGGGTGAGGAGAAATTAGTCTCCTAAATAAAAACTCCTTGGCAGTAAGTATTTTATAAATACTCGCCAACTGTCTTTTTTTTTAATTAAAAATGTTTATGTATATAGTTGTTTTTGCCTGTGTGTTTGTACATCACATGTGTGTATGCCTTGTGCTCATTGAGGCCAGAAGAGGGTGTTATATTCCTAGGAACTGGAGTTACAGATGGTTATGAGCTGCCATTTGGGTGGTGAGAATTGAACTCAGGTCCTCCTGAAGAACAGCCAGTGTGCTCTTAATTGACAAGCAAACTCTCCATCCCCTTTTTCTTTTATAAAAGAACTTGAGACCAGTGGCCATTTGATTTGCTACATCAATTTCCAACCTCACTCAACATTATGTTTTGTATTTCCCCTTTTCTTCTACTATATGAGTTCTACAGCATGACAGTGGGCTCTGCTGACCCTGAACTTAGAACTTAGACATAACCACCATGAGCTGATTTGAGATTTTTTTTTTGTATATAACAGGCAACTAAGTGTTGGGGGAGGTGGTCAATTCATGAAAACTAAATATTCTAAAGTGACTGACACAAATAAGGTTAATAATTTTAGAGCTGGGAGGTAACAAAGAAATAATGTGATTGACACTTCATAAATACAAGAATAAGGTTCAGGCTTGGCTAACATCACACTTCTCACAGATGTCAAAGACAGAACTGTAGTTTGGGTCTAGTATTTCTTACCAATTACTCCTTACACCACAGAGTACCAATGAAGAATTTCTGTTATGCAGAGTTTCTGCTGTGTAGAAGTTTTGCTATGGAGAATCCTCTCTCAACAAATCCTTGTTAATAAACCAAAATTTAAAAAGTTCAAATTCTGACTCTAACCTTTTAGTTCACATTCTGTCGAGTGAAAAGTTAAACTCAAGGGTTTAAAGTAGGGATCAAGAAAGGACAGCTCAGAGTATGTAGATCTTCCAGGAGCATGCCAGCCTTCCCTCATCCTGAGACAGGTGACTCCCACACCAGTGTAGACACCTGCCATTTGCCTTGCACATTTGTAAAGCTGTGTGAGCAAATGCCAAGATGGAGAGGATTTAAGGGCAGAGTGTGGTCACTGAGCACAGCTCCTCTGTGGCTGCTGCACCTGTGGGCAAGCTTCCCTCCAAGGTGGCTTACTGTGAAAGAGCTTACATGCACAGCCGTCACAATCAGTGCAAATGAAGGAGCTGTGCACTTAGTCTTTAGAACAGAGATGGAAGGAAAGTAACAGAGTCAAGCAAAAGCTAACCTAAGAGAAAGTCTCCACTGACAAATTATCTAACATGAGTTCGCAATGCCCAGGGAGGGTGACATTATCCCTGTATGTGTGTATTTAAGGTCGCATGGGATTTAAGGTGGCTGTCTGCATTAAGAACTTTAAAAAAAATTATAAGAGAAAAATCTCAAATTTCAAGAAGTAAAAATGAAAATTTGAAAAGTTAATACATATTTGTTTTTATTTATAGATAACTACCATAGAACTATAGAGAAGGAGAAGGGCATCAAAATGAAACTTGAAACAGGTAGGTGAATGCATGCTGGAACTAAGAACAATGTTTCTCCAGTGAAGGCAGTGAGAACATAATCGACAAGGAATTATACACTGTATTGCATAATAAGGAATTGTGGTTATTTAGAAATATGCAGAACCTATTTAGTCTGTGCTTTAGAAATAATTGTATATAGTATTACAAGTTGAAAAGAATCCAAAAGAATAATTAATATACACCTATGCGTTAGAATTCAGAAAAGGCTTCATTCTGTAAAGTCGTCAGCAGTATTAAAAATAACACCAATCCAAAACAAAATGAATATAAAAGGGGCATTGTAAGCTTTGTTTCCTGCATTAAACCCAGTTTATCCATGGAATTTTCTTTTAATACTCATTTAATCAGAAGCATGCAAACAGTTTAGGATCTACTTAATCATCTGTGACACATTCACTGAGGCTACAGCCCACTTTCATGGCTAGGCAGGGATTCGAGCTGCCGCCTCCTCCTCTGCATCAGCTCGGTTTGCATTAATTTCTGCGAGTGTTCGGCCAAATCTTGCCCATTCATCATTTCGGGGAACAGCGATCTGCTGTTAAAAGAAAGACAATGTTTGCTGAGCAACAAAAGAAAAGATCATCGTCTTTACTATTACTCTGTTTTCAAATAATTTTTCCATTAAAAATTAATAACTGACCCAAAGGACCTTTCCATAATCACCGAGACTGTAACAATGATTTACAACATTTTTAAACAAAAGACAGTGTTTCTGAAACATGTCATGACAGCTCAGACATGAGTTTGCTGTTACCACCACAGCGCAAGGACAGTAACAACGATGCTTTGTCAACAGACTGCCTGGCACCTCTATGGACTTGTTGATTGAGAGAAATTCCTTCAAAATTTTTTAGTGTAATGGGAGAACAGGAAGGAGAGGGGAACAGGAATTGGTATGTAAAATAAAATTGTTTTTAATTTAAATAAAAAATCTAATAAACCAAACACAGGGTTTGTTTGGAATAGAAGAGGTACTCTGTCTTGATTCCCTAACTCCTTTCTGAGAAGTTACAGTATTGCTACTTAGCATAGCGTTGACTAAAGAGCAAAGAAGAAAATAAAGTTTATGGTGCTTCTGCCTCACAGAGGCAACCCAAATTTCCCTATAGTTGCTCTTATATTATCTAGAGAATAACACTGCCACAGCAGGGCACAAATCATCCAATGTGGCCAGTGGACAGACTTGCTTCTCAGTCTACAATATCTAAAAGGGTAGTTACTAGCCAAATGTGGCAATTCACATTAAGTTAGTGTTAAGCTTGACTAACCACAGATTTTCAATAGCATCTGTGCACACTGTCCAAACGGCTGCTCTAAATGATCTCTCGTCCGCATCTGACTGCTGTAGCCACAAAGGATCAGAATAAGATGGGGAATAATGATGAAGAAAAGATCCAGAGGCTCTGGTCAGAACCGAAAAGGAAGAACTAAGTCCTGAGCACTGTGTCCCTGGGTGCTGTGTCCAGTCAGGCAGTGACAAGAGAGCTCAACTCGCCCTGCGCAGCTCCATCTCATGCCTTTGTGCCTGCTCACGTTTCTCAGGGTTACCTAAGAACTATGGAAAGGGGCTGCAGATATGGTTGAATGGCTAAGAGCACTGGCTGCTCTTCCGGAGGACCCAGGTTTGGTTCCCAGCACCCACAAGGTGATTCACAATAGCCTGGAACTCCAGTTCCAGGGGATCCAATGCCCTCTTCTGACACCCCATAGGCTCTTGCAAGCACACAGTGCACATACATCTACTCAGGCATACATATACACATTAAATATATTTGAAAAAAAAAACCTATCAAAAGATATCTTTTATTTCTACTATATGGCTCAAACAAATCTATGAATGCAAAAAATAAGCAGATGTGTAAAAAGTACAGGTCCCATACCTCTCCCACATCATATATGACAATCTGTCCTTCAGAGTCACCCACAGCAATCTCTCTTCCCGAGTGGGTCCATCTCACACGGTTAAGAGCCGGGTTTCCCTCCACAGAAATGCTGGCAGTCGGTACCTAGGTCATTTAAAATACAGCACATTTAAAAGTTTCTAAACACATAAAACAGTCATTATTCTCCAATCTGGGTTTTTAAAAAGCAGATGATAGTAGACAAAAGATAATGCCAGTACTCAGGAGACAGAGACAGGCCGATCTCTTGAGTTCTAGGACAGCCAGGGCTACACAGAGAAGCCCTGTCTCGAAAAACCAAATCCAATCCCTTCAAACCCCCAAGCAAACAAACAGCAACAAATTTCCCCACCTTCCCGCTGTTCAGAGATTTAATATGATGACATTACCTTCAACTTTTGAAGAGGGGTTGGGAAAACACCCAGAACTTATCTAAGAAATTCTGACATGGCTGCATATATCCCCTCAGTAAAAGTTTTTTGTGTTTAACTTAAGTAGTCAAGCTGTTTAAAAACACTAGACTAAAACCCATTTTAAAATATCTTAAAGAATATATTTCCAATTCCCTCATTTTCAACAGATCACAGTTCAATTTTAGGGGACAAGAGTTACTTCTGCAGCTTATATCTTCCCCAGCTAAAACCAGATGATCTGATGGACAGCAGCTCTGGGAATCAGCTTGTACTTTCAGTATAATAAGCTTTCCCAAGTCCCAATCAATCCCAAGAAACGCAAGAGATATCATCATCAGGGCAGCAAGCTCTGGAGTCTGATTGTACCTTGGTCACACCTAGAGTAACAATGTTCACTGATGTAGACCAAAAAGCATAATTAAACTTAAAAGTTTGAAATATCACTAAAGTAGTCCTTATGCTTACATCAGTCTTTCCCAAGTGATTAGCCCAGAGATATTATAATCACTACTAAGGGGAAGATCCTCATTTAATTATCGTCATAAATTTGGTAGCAAAATGTAAACTACAAAGTAAATAAACTTGGGCAGGGCATGGTAGTGCATGCCTTTAATCCCCACACCCAGAGTGGTTGTGGGGGGTAGAAGCAGGTAAATCTCTGTGAGTTCAAAACCAGCCTACTCTACATAGTGAGTTCCAGGGTAATTTTGTGAGCTTGCCAAACAAACTTGTGCCATTCTAGAAGATGGACAATCAAAATTTAATTATGTAGCTCACTTTTTTCCTAGTAGTATTTGAACGTTCCTCCCCAAAGCACAGAACCAGTAGATAATTGTTGGGAATATTATTTTCAAGTGTGTGACTTTTGTTTATGTTGCATTTGTTTAACTCTGTGAAGCTGTGTTACTGTGCCTGTCTAAAACACCTGATGATCTAATAAAGAGCTGAACGGCCAATAGCTAGCAAGGCAGGAGTGAGAAATAGGTGGGGCTGGCAGGCAGAGAGGATAAATATGAGGAGAAAGAAATCTGGGAGGAGAGGATTTGAGGACTGGGGAACAAGAGAGGAAGGAGAAGGACTTCAGAGGCCAGTCACCCAGCTACACAGTCAGACATGGAGTAAGGAGAGAAAAGGTTGTATACAGGAATACAAAAAGGTAAAAGCCCCAAGGCCAAAGACAGATGGGGTAATTTACATTAAGAAAAGTTGGCAAGAAACAAGCCAAGCTAAGGCCAGGCACTCATAACTAAGAATAAGCCTCTGGGTGTGATTTCTTTGGGAGCTGGGTGGTGTACCCCCCAAAAAAGTCCAAAAAAGACTAAAGAGCCAAAAGAGTAAAACATCACTCTAGGGATAATAGCATTAAAATTCTTGTATTTCCAACATATCTCTCCTTTCCTCATATTTGTATACCCAAGTACTTGACTTCCAGGGATCTGGAAAGATGCCACCAAGAATCAGAAGAAATGAGAGGACGCTCTTCTACAACCACTACTGACAACTGGTAGCATTATTTCTGCTAACCAGTGACCTGTAAGCAATATAGGGACCTAAAACCATTTAAGACTATCAACTGGCTAAGGATAACTCAGAGACACAGTTAAACTGCACTACTAAAGTTGGGATAGCAATTACGGAATGTGCTGGTTTCTACATTATTATTTATGGTGGCGGGAATTAAACTCAGGGTTTTGCACATGCCCAGACCTTGGATTTTTTTCCCCTTTGAGACAGGGTTTCTGTGTAGTTCTGGCTGTCCTGGAACTCTCTCTCCAGAGTGCTGGCACTAAAGGTGTGTATCACCACCACTGAGCTTCAGTGATGGGAGATGTCATTCTGTAAATAAGTCTGTCTTATTGGTTGATGAACAAAGCACTGTTGGCCAATAGGAAAGCAAGATAGGTGGGATAGGAGTTGAGGAGGATTTGGGGAAATGTAGTCAAGTATGGAGAGTCGCCATGTGATCTCAGGAAGAGAGGACACATCAGGGTGCGTCCTCGGTAAGATAAGTCCTTGTAAAAATATATAGATTAGTAATTATGGGTTAATAATTCAGAGCTAGCCAATGAGAAACCATAGCAAACGGCCAACAGTTTCATAATTAATATAGTGTCTCATGTGTTATTTGGGGGCTGAGACAGTGGTGGGACCCAGGCAGCAGGAGGGAAGAGTACATGTTACACTTCAGACCTTGGATTTTGGAGACAAGGTCTTGCCACATATGAAGCCTCTAACTCATGATACTCTTGCCTCTGCCTCCCAAGTGCTAGGTTTACAGGCATCTGGCATCATGCCCAGCTCTGTACTCTATACTCACTTAACCCCTCATGGAAAAGGGCCATCAAAATTTATTTCCTTTCTTTCAAATGAGTCAGGGAAGGCTAGCATTTATGAATGATACACAACCTTCTCAAGGCTAACAGGTAATTCAGAATTCTGGCTAGCATCCTTTGACAATCTGTAGTTATCTTTTTCTAGCCTATGAATGAAAGCACATTCCAAGCCCCGTGGACTTCTCCTGGACAGTGGACACACGATGCTGCTTTTCAGAAATAAAGAAGGCCCCAGTGTGCACGGCAGGGCCACGGAGTCCCTTCAGATTCGCACAGCATGCTGTTTGTTATGTGGGAACAAGCTACAATCACAGAGCACTTTTACATTCCTTGGGACAAAAGAAATTTCACAAATTATTCAATAAATCTCCGATTTTCTGTTATTTTACTGCTCACCTCTGTGTCATTGTTGAGATTCCACAGATCCAGTCTCCCCATGCCATCCACACAGGCAAACAGGGCTGGGTGGGTGGGTGACCACATAACATCATAAACATAGTCGGAATTATCTTCAAATGAGTACAAAGGCTTGTTATTCTGAAAAGGAAAAGTTAATTCTTAGCACAGTTAGCATACGATACCCATAGAAAACCTTAACTACTTATCACCAAGACACGGCAGATTGTGTAGGCACAGTTTCATACCAACCCAGACTAGAAATGTTCCCGTAGTTCGTTTCTCTATAGAATCACCTGGCATTATAAACTAAGAACCAAGTATTAGGTTGCAGTTCCTTTTTAGCTTGTAGAGGTCTTACTGTTTTTGAGAAGCAATAGAATATGCTTCAAAACACTTGCCAGTGAGTAGCTGCTGGAAGATGACAGCAGAGGCACTGTACTTCTTCAATCACCTGGAAATCTCTCTACAGAAGCAGAAAAAGCAACAAGGACTGCGAAAGCAAAGCCGCACAGAGTCTCCAGCAAAAGGGAAACCGACTCCAGCTGTAAGCAGGGGGAGCTCTCCCAACTACAAGACCTGCACGGTACTAGCATCTGTGTGGGAAGAAGTGACTGACAGCTGCGGCACAGACCTTCACTTGGTAGCGTGATGAGAAGCCTGAGAACAGCAGCAGCTAGGGGAGTTCAGCATCTCTCCATCTATAACAAGCACCACAGGTGCTGATGATGTAAGCATGGTCTCATGCTGGTGTCTGGGTCACACATGCTCTTAGAATTGACAGACTTGAGTGTGGGTGTGGAGGTCGGAAGACAACCTGTGGGAGGAAGTTCTTTATCTAATCTACTAGATGGATCTTGGGGCCTGAGCTCAGGTTGTCAGGCTGAGTGGAAAGCAAGGAAAGCAACTGTTAAACCATCTTGCCAGCTTAATAAAAAGTTTTAAACTGTGAGTTTAAAATTTTAAGATATGACAGTTAATGTCAATAGCATGATTATTGTAGTAGCCCAAAATGTTTAACAAACACACACACACACACTCCACTCCCCAAATGAACAAAATATTAAAAAAAAAAAGCCAAACTCAGAAGAGGATTTTTTTTTCTTTTTAAAGCCACTGTTATGAGAGTAAGGATACAGCTTTCCTGCCCAGAATGTGCACACCATCAGCGGCTAAGCTTTGTAAAGCCACCCCAGAGGTACTTCATTGGTATTTCTGGCACACCAAAGACTCTAAAGCCTTTGACTTCTGAGGTGATAGAACACTTCAAATATTCCATTTCCAGGTAGTTTTAAGGTCTATCATCAAAATTGTAAAACAAAGCTGTTAACAATCATATTCATGCCAGGCAGTGGTGGCTCATGTCTTTGATTCCAGCATTGGGAGGCAGGGGCAGGTGGATCTCTGTGAGTTCAAGGCCACAATCTACAATCTACACAGTGAGTTCCAGAACAACCTATTACACAAAGAAACCCTGTCTCAAAAAACAACAATAAACCCATATCAATCATATCCATATATCTAATAAAAACGTGGATGTTGGGGACTAGGGTTGGGACTGGGAGAGAAGCTTAGTGATAGAGCTCTTGTTTAGCACTCTGGAGGCACTAGACCCAATTTCAGCACTGGAGGAAACAAAAACAGTGATGGCCTACATGCTGGATAGAGCTCAATGGTAGAACAATTGCCTGGCATGCACCAGACTCTGCAGAAAAGGGCAGTACAATGAGCATTTCCCAACACAGGCAATAATCTCATGGAAGGGTGCTTAATCACAATGATGCAAATGAAAACACCCAGCAATGTCACTTCACACACTGGAAGTTTAAAAGAAAAGACATCAGAAAACCCTTTAAGTGTGGACAAGGGTGCAGAACAATCAGACCTATACATACTGCTACTGGTGAGTCAGGAACTGGTAGACTCACTTGGAATTGCTAGGTACTATCTATTCAAGCTGAATACATATACACATCCTCTGACCAAGCCATTCCATGCTAAGCATATGAACAACAGAATTGTTTATGGCCATGAAAAGACAATTATGACCTGGTATGGTGGTACACACCTGTAATCCCAGTACTTGGGAAGATCATATGTTTGAGGCTAGCCTGGGCTATACAGCAAGACTCTACCTAAAAAAACAAAAGGGAGAAAAAGACAACTGAACTATGCTCCTAGCAGAACTGAAGTAACCCACATACCATCAATGGATACATAAACTACACTTTATTTACATGGCTGAAAAAAGAATGGTATGTAACTATACTCAGCAACATGAAACTCACAATCAGTGTTCAGCAAGCCAGAATGAGTATATACCCCTTTTTACAAACTACAGACTATTAAAAAGCAATATGTAAATTAAGTTAAAACATTTATGATAGGGCTGGAGAGATGGCTCAGAGGTTAAGAGCACTGGCTGCTCTTCCAGCAGTCCTGAGTTCAATTCCCAGCAAGCACATGATGACTCACAACCATCTGTAATGAGATATGGTGTCCTCTTCTGGTGTGCAGGGATAAATGTAGGCAGAACACACACATGTATTATTTATTACACATAATAAATAAATCTTAAAAAAACTATAACCACCTTGTAGGTCTCTGGACATTTCCCTGGTGCCAGATTTCTCTTTAAACCTATAATGGCTCCCTCCCTTCTCTGATAATGAGATTGATGACTACCTTATATGCCATCCTTGAGCCTTCATTTAGTAGCTGATGGAAGCAGAAGCAGACACCCACAGCTAAACACTGAGCTGAACTCTGGAATCCAGTTGCAGAGAGGGAGGAGTCATGAGCAAAGGGGTCAAGACCAGGCTGGAGAAACCCACAGAAACAGCTGACCTGAACAAGGAGGAGCTCATGGACCCCAGACTGATATCTGGGAAACCAGCATAGGACCTATCCAGATCCCTTGAATGAGGATGTCAGTTAGGAGGTCTGGTTAATCTATGGGGCCTCTGGTAGTGGATCAGTATTTATCCCTCGTATACTAGTGGACTTTGGAGTCCACTCCACATAGAAGGACACTCTCTCAGCCTAGACACATAGGGGAGGGCCTAGGTCTTGCTCCAAATGATATGACCCACTTTGAAGATCCCCCCATGGAAGGCCTCATCCTCCCTGGGGAGCAGAAAGGGGGTGTGATAGTGGGTGGGTGGGGAGCAGGGAAGGAGTGGAGGGAGAGAGAACTAGGATTGACATGTAAAACAAGCTTGTTTCTAATTTAAATTAAAAAAAGGGGAAAACTGTAATAAAAAGAAGATTGCTAATTGTATCAGGAAATGGTCTGATAAAATATTTAATCTACTCAGTGGATTTCTATATAGCTTGGGTAAAATACCATAATTTTATTTCATTTAAAATTTTTTTGTTTGTTTTTTCAGGACAGGGTTTCTCTGTGTAGACCTGGTTGTGCTGGACTCACTCTAGAGACCAGGCTGGCCTCGAACTCAGAATAAGTCTCCCTATGCCCCCCAGTGCTAGGATTAAAGGTGTGTGCCACTACTGCCCAGGCAAAAATACCACAATTTTAAAAATTATATGGAGAAAAAGCAAAATGTTTTTCAATTTAAAATGTGACTATTTTAAAACTCTTTTCTAGTTTAATTTGAAAAACCATAGTTATCTAAGGATTAGCCAGAGTTTTACCCCACAGAGAAAATGCACATATTTAACATCAAATAATGTTTCATAGTACAGTAATTTAACATATGATATTGCAAATTAAGATCACAAGTGGAATGGTTTAAATATCTTTTTAAAGTGGTATCTTCCCTTACTTTGAAGAGCACATCTGCCTTACTGGCACCGACGCAGCAGGGAGTCTGGAGAGGGGTAGAACCTAGACTGTTGTTTCAGTCCAGCCAGCTTCAAGGCTTTGAGAAAAGTCACTCATTCTTTCTAAGCCTGTTTCCTTGTTTATAAAACAAAGGCTTCATATTGATGGTTCTGAAGCCAACTTATGCTGTGACCACGTAGAGAGTCTTAAGGACAGTGTGTGGCGCTCTTTTAGGGTCTGAGTTCACAGGTCTGGGTGTCAGGGAGCACTTTGAAGTCTAAAAAACTGCTCCAGTACATGACCAAGGATGAGAAATTCTGAGCCACATTAATAGGTCTCATATTCTTAGTCACAAATGACCTGCAAAAGCATAATTGCTAAGAAGAGAAATTAAGACAAAGGTCTTCTGTGAAAAAACAAGACAAAACAAAAACAAAAACAGATGACATTTGAATAAACAGAAAATCATTTGGTTCTGCTGTAACAATAAACACAGTATACTCATGTGACAGGTCATATAATTTTTCCTAAACTCAAGATATATGCTGAGTTGAATGGTGTTGCCCTAAAATCCATGTCTATCTAGTCCTTGTAAATGTAGCCAAGTTAAATAGGTTATACTGTACTAGGGTGGGCCCTACATCTACTATGACTTGAGTTCTTAAAAGAAGAAATTTGGATGTAGAGATACAATGAAGCAAACAGTTCAGAAGGTCATGTGATGATGACAAGGCAGAGAGAGAGACTGGAGGGATACAGTTGCAGGCCAAAGAACACCAAGGATTCCTGGCAGTCACCGGATGCAAGGAGACAAATATGGAGCAAGTTCCCAAGGGTAAGTAGCTCACCTATCCCTCCTTAAACCAACAACAAATTACTGTTATTTTAGGTCACTGTGTGATAAGCTGCTACAGCTGGAATAAGAACCTAATACAGATTTTTTTTTCAAAACTGGAGTAATTGGGAAATTCTAGATTAGTAACAGTCAATACAACAGGGTTAACAGTGAACTGAAAATAACTATGACCTAAATTTAGATGATGAGAGAAATAAACAAACATGGCTGAAGAGATGGCTCAGAGGTTAAGAGCACATACTGTTCTTGCAGAAGACAACACCCACATCCAGCAAACTGCCCAACACTCCTGCTCCAGGGAATCCAAAGCTTCTGACCCAATGCTCAAGTGTACACACACACACACA